TGGTTAGCATATACAAACTGCTCTCATTAGTTGATTCTAGGTATCCGGCAATATTTTGGCAGTGTTCATTCAAAACAAGATCTATTTTTTCTACCTGTACCAATTTGTGTCATAATGGGCTGAAAAACATTCAGCAGCTGAAAAACAGCCTGTAAGTGCAATAACTTTGGATGCTGTTGGGTTAGTCTCCCACTCCGAATTTATATGCTTCTTCAAAATATCATTCTGGGAATTAACCTTGTACTTAGCCTTTTCCACATGTATCCCAAGAGAAAGGGAGTGACGTGGCTTTCAGTAAACTGGATTTTAACACAGCATACTGTACTCCATTCCAAATTATGAGGAGATGTTTATTGGCTTTATAATTCTGAGATGAGATTCACTTAGTTTTTTTGATTGACATATAGTTGTTTTTTGATGCCATAACTGAGAGTCAATGCACTCCAAACTACCACGCTAATTATTGGATGGTCTTACCTCTCTTGTGTAAGGGAAATAGAGTAAACTATTTGAGTAGCAGCAACAGAATATTTTGGTTTAAAAATCTTTATATGAGCTAATACTGGTGCTGACGATACAGATGTTGACAAGAATGAAAGGAATTCCAGCTCAGTTTTGAAAAAGGTATATTTTCACAGAGAACATGTCTCTTCTGGGAACCTTTAATTTAATGTACATTGGTTTCCTATTTTAAGAAAACAATTTGCTCTTAAACACTATGCCAGCTAGACTTAGATTTTTTAAGCAAAAACTCTTTGTCCTGAAGTATTTTAATGGCCTAAAGAGCAGGAAATTGCCTGTGACATTTCAGTTTTTCCATTCTAAGGGAAAAATGGTCCAAGGTCTAAAATTAGCTTTCTCTTGAAAAACACCCTCACTCTCATCATTGTAATATACCATAAAGCATGTGACAACAAAGACATTTCTTTCTCAGACTGGTATTGTTTTTAAGACGCTAAAGGGCTCACAATCAGCAATTAAGATAGTCTTCATGTAAAACTGCTGACTTGAATAAAAATTGTGTTTACTGACCTAACCCAAATAATTTTGATGACTGACTTTGCAGTACAATGTCTCCAGTTCCTCCCTCTTCCTCTACATTAGCACAAATGACTGTCAATCAGAACCGCATTTTCACCTTGGAAGAAAATCTCAGTAGGCTTTGTACTATTGGCGTTCTGTACTGTTAGGCACTTTTTAGCTTCATTCACTATTTGAGCATCCATTTCTTATTCAACATATTTTCATACACATTTTGGTCTGGGGCCATAAATAGACAAATGAGGTAGATGGGTACAAATAAATAAGGTTAATAAAGTGCACCACATAATACATTAATGCCATGAAGCATATTATGCAGGTCAAAGAGACGGATGTCTTATCATTACGCCTAGATATCCAGCACAACTCAAAGACAGCCTTGGCGTTAAGATCACTCCCCCAGCAGTGAATTCAGGCATGTGAGCTAATCACAAGATACTTGTTTATTGTCAACTCAGAAAAATACAGCCAGACTGGTTTATATGTAGGCTGAGGCCAGTGTGGAGGCATTCCTAGACAGGGTGGGACCCATAGAGCAAGTAGTGCTGTCCCTAGGAAGGCAGCAGGTCTGAATCTGCACTAAAGATGAAGATGGAAGTTTGCGATATGATCTCTTCAGTGGTTAAATTTGCTTAAGACGTTTCGCCCCTTATCTTTCTACCTCAAGGCCTTGACCACTCATTCCTTTCTTCACACTGCAGCTCACTGCCTGTCCTCAGTTGTGCTGCTATAAATGATTGTGGGACCAGGCTATAGAGTAGCTTCCTAAAATAATCTTTAGGCAGCTAGAAGTTAAAAATAGTCTTTCAGAAGAGTTTTGCATTTTTGCGTTTTAAACCCAAATCATTTCAATTGTCTGGTTTTGCAGACAACCCTAAAAATAGTTGTACAAGCACAACTGAAAGGGTAACAAACTGAACTACTGGAAGGTAACAACTTCTTAGATTCCAAAACAAATATGTCATGAAAATATGCACAAAGAGACTATGTACCCTCACTGCTGAAGTAAAAGCAAAGCCACTTTTTCCTCCAATACCACACACACATTTCCTAAAATTTAATGAATCATACAGCCTTGAGGCCTTAAGATTAGACGGTCTTGATCTCGTTGAAATCAGTGGAAGTTTTACCTCTCACTTGCTTTAAGCCAAGATTTTATTCTCCTGCTTTCTTCAGAGAAGGACTTGGTATCTTAATATCCCCTGGTATTTGATCATAGGCTATATTTTAACATATATCAACATACAATCTGGATCATGTATCTATTATAGACTCATATATTGGAAACCTAGGAAATACCATCAGAAAAGATCTCAAGAGTTCCATCTAAATCATCCCTCTGAGCTGAGACAGGATCACTTATACCTATGTTATTCATGGCAATATTTATCTAAACTTATTTTTAACAAAATGTATTTTTTAAAGAACGCACATCTCCTTAGACAATCCATTCCAGCGTTTAGCTAGAGAATTTTATTAACATCTAACCCAAATTTGACACAACTAGGACTTTATGGTTACACGTCAGGACAGATCAACAGAATTCCTGGTGGAAACAGCTGCAGCAGCAATGCAAAAATTTGGCATGTTTTGGATATTATCTGTTGCTTTTTCTTTTAGCCAAGAAGAATAAATAACCCAAACATTTAGTGAATAAAGCTAACATACAACTGGGATTATAGACACTCCTGAGCATACGTGAACTCAGAGAGGTTGTAGAATCAATAACTTTCTGTTAAAGTTGAAATTCTTTGCCAGGAAATACTAATGTCGTATTAGTGCAGGGAAACAATGGCATAAACACATGGATGCATCTTCTTTCATATAACTACAGTAAGATAAAGTCTAATTTTATTGTAGGCACTGTGGGAAGAGATAACCATTCTATTTACTTGAGCATTTAAAAATGAAGCACACCAACATAGTATAGGATGCACTGTAGAAATCACACTAGAAAGAAGATAAAGAATCTATTAAGCCTTCATTCAAACGCCACTTAGAAGTGCCTTGCAGCTTTATAAACAGCCAAAAGATAAACAAGTGCAGCAGTTGAAAAACTTAGAAATGTCGAGATAAGCTACTGTTTCAGAAAAGACTGGAAGACCAGAGTAGAAATTAATGTGCTGTAGAGATTCCGCACAGAAAGTCAGTAGAGCAAAGTCAAGACTGTATGGAAGAAGTAGAAAAAAGAAATTGTGCTGGCTTTGGTTGGGAACTAAAAAGGTAAGATGTAGAGTTTAGATTCATAAGAATCTAGGTAGGGCAAATCAAGAGTAATAAAAAAACAAGTTCCTTATATCTATATATATCTAATTACTTCAGGGAAGGTGAAATTAAAGCAGAAAAACAAGCAACAGCAATCTGGACTGGCCAAACAGTGGCAATATTAACTGGGATCCTGGAAGAAAAGAGGTATAGACAGTGGAGCTGATAAAAGTTGAAGAGCTGGAGAGTTACATTTCTCCTTCAAAGCCAGAAATGAGAAGGATTGCAACAGTTCGATTCACTTTCCATTCTCAATCTCCAAAATTTAAAGATAGCAAAAATACTTATCAAGAGTAAGAGCCACAAGCAGTAAGAACAGGTTTGCCAATATTTTACATTTTCTTGTATAGCTGAATCCATGAATACTTTAGAAAATGGAGGACAATTAAAACAGCAAAACTACATTGCTTGGATTCTTGTAGCATTTCTTTGAAATGGTAATAACATCTAGTGGAACCTACTTTCAGTAGAACATCGGTTTGTCAATTCTGTTTACTCATTCCTCCTCCTTGATTTTTTTTTAACTTCTCTTATTGAGATGTTTGGGATGTTACTTACTTTATTTTCTTTATAGGACTGGCATATGAAATGCCAGGAAGGTGGCAGATTCATTTCACCTAAGCTTATCTGGCTTAGGTTAGGTTCAGTCGTGTACGCCTGAGTTAGCAACCATAGTTATTACAGTTATTACAGTGAACTAAGAGAAATAGAGACTTTTTATGGAGCATATCATCTTCCAGGCACTCCAGGCGTCTATTCTGGAAAGAGGCAATACTGTTCTAGAATGTCTTTTTTGCTCTGCTGACTATAAAGGGAACCTAATACGACCAGTGTAGATGCAGATGTCTATATCAGTTAGATGAATCATACTCTAAAAGTTGTACTGAATATTCCTGACTACTGAGAGCACTGGTTTTGATAGCAGTTTTTGTAAAAGAAGTTGCAACTTGTAAAAGACGCCTCCGTCTTTTGCAATACCTTTAGATTCAGTGAATTCTCTGACTAAGAAGAATACGCTTGCACATTTTCTGGCTCTATGTAAGTGAGGAACTAAGAGCACACCTTGCCCCCAGGCAAAGATGTTGCAACATAAAATTCAAATAGCTTGATAAAAAAAGTAGAAGCATTAGAGGTACAACTCTTTATGTGCCCTCAAGGAAGAAGAGAAGCTGGCAAGACCTTTGTAAGCCAATTCAGTGAAGACTCATTTGACACAACCACGATGACACTCACGTTATTTGTATCAAAAGTCTTGACTTGCCACAGTACATGCCTTGCAACAGCTGTCACTGAATAATGAACAAAATATTTTAGTACCAACAAGGAAACAAGTTCACATTTAACAAGCATCACTTCACATTGTTCTCACAGGTGAGATAATTCAGAGCTAGGTATTTGAATATAGTAAATATCTTACATTAAAAATAAGTTAATCAAAGACTGCATATACAAAAGAGGACAACCGATAAAACTTAATCACAATTGCTGCTCAACAGCATTTATCTCAAAGATGAACGTCTGGTCATATGTGACAATTATCATCATTACTCAACCAGCTCGTATAACAAAACACTGTGGCTGCTGTAGACTAGAACTAAATTCTATAGTTCCTTGACTATAAAATCTCTTGGGCTGTCACCCTTATATTTTGGCTGTGCTCTCGTTGTTCTGAAACAGTGTGAGGATATACTCTGTCAGAATTGCATGATAGTGTTGGAGGTTTCACGAAATCTGTACAAGAGAGAAAAAGTCCCACTTAGCAGCAGCAGAATGACAGCTATAATCCCAATAGGAATTGCAGCACCAACCTCCTGTGTCGCTGGGCTGGAGGGCATGTGGTAAGAAGGAGGAAAAGCAATGCTCTCATTATGCGTTACAGAGTAGAAATTCCAGCTCACTGGAATTAGGACACATAGACTAGAAAATATGTAGAAGAAGCCACCAACCAGGAAGGAACGGGCAATGAGAGTTTTGTCAGCTATTCCCCTATAAATATGTCTCAGAGCAAATATTGTGGCAGTCAGTCCCAGCAAACCCATGACCATGGCGACCAACAGGAGACCTTGAGCAACGTAAATTTCATCAGGGACGAAAGAGTCAAATGCCCTGAATTTATGACAGAACTGTTCTTTATAGCCAGGTGAGACATGAAGATAACTGATAAAGCAGACTTTCCAAATTCCCACCCAGGCAACGCCAGAGGAAATAACAGTGGTGTTGTCCACATGCCACACTCTCCATTCCACAAGTCCCATTGAGACAGCGCACATGATCCAGCCTATTGTGCCAACAAGAAAGGCAGCTAGTTGGAGGTGCGAGGTGCTGACCAGGGACCTCATAGTTTGGAGGTCTTCAGACATCAGAAGTATGGCGTGGGCATGTTTGCCAGGTGACGAAAGAGCAGCACTGAAAAGAAACACAGCACAAAATTGCAGAGACAATTACTTGTGTGAATAGCTGCACCTGCTAGTGTAAATGCAGAATACATGTGCTGAGGGAGGATGGCAGCCATCTTTCCTGAACCGTAGTGAATTTTTGAAGTTTAACATCTGTTTAATGTCTGTATATTTCATTATACGGCAAGGAGGAAAAAAAGGACTCTGGTAAGCTCCCATTACAATCTCTATTTCATTCACAAAAGCACAATTCACATCCTTTTCCAAGTTATTTTCTTCATTGATATTTAACTGTTATTTTCCAAAGATCTTCATATGCACTGCATATAATCAATAGCCCTAGAGGTAGCGGCTAGTAGAAAATAAATCTGACAAATCCTTAGGATCCTAATTGTTGAAGGAGATCATACAAAGCAACAGCAGGAGCCGTGCTGCTCTTTCTTAGCAGCCGTGTTTTCTGTGCAACAATCTAACTTGAACATTCACCTACCTTTGCACTGTTTCACCAGTTGGCCCCTAACTAAGAGTTGCTGGGACTAGCATTGGACAGAAAATGCGGTAGTTCAGAGGTGTGAGCAAACCCAGGTCACAAAGTCTAATGACAACAACTGGAATCTAATGATTTTTAGATTATTTAGCCATGAATGCTTTACTAGAAACACTTGCATTAATCTCAGATGTAGAGCTTTGCACTGTGGATGCGGTGCCATTGCTTTCTCACCCCCAGACTTCAACAGAGGTTTCTTTAGTATTCCACTTTTGCAGATCACACTCATGCATTACCTACCCAACCTCCTCAGCTCAAGTCATCCTACAGTAGTAGTGGAAGAAATTGGAGTCATTGGTTTGTTTGCTGACTCTATAGTCTAAGTGCAAATTAAACATACCTTTTCAATGAAAAAAAATCTTTTCATTTCCAAAATCTTTCACACAACCTTCTGAATTGTTATAAAAATGATTTGCGATCACAGATGATGTGGCCGTGAATTTAATTTATTACATAGATACGACAGATTCTGGGGTTCTTTATATTCTATGAGTCATCTAAAATACCCTTTCTCCTATCTTCCATTGCATTCAAGGCAGAAGGAGTACTGGCCCAAGACCAAGTTCTCATTGATAAGAAGATAGATCTGCAACTATGTTTTGTTACCAAACCAGTAACTTTTCTATTTATTCATCTTTACATTAACAAATACAGTTAGTGACACAATTTATTTGCAAAAATCCAGCTGTGGAAATCTGAAATAAAAAAACCTACATAACAATATCAGCTTAAGTAAACACTTTCCATCTTCACATACTGGTGCCCACTACATCCTTACTTCAGTCCTGGAACTGATGTCAGTGATGAGAGGATAGGACATACTGGTTTTTGATATCAGACAAATGAAGAAAAATCTGCAGTTTTATCACTTTAGCCTCCAGGTATATGTTTGTATTTCGAATAAGACTGATTTCCTGCAGGAAACATTAATCGTCATTATTGCAAATGTATATTTAATCGTTTCTTGTATGGAGGAAATTGCTCTGGAATATTCTCTGATGTTTTTATCTACTTAAACTGAAACCAATTTAGAAAAGCCTCCTATGTTATTCGAAGAGTGATTATAAAAAAACCTATTTAATTAACAGTGGTTAATAGCCATACTAGTTTTATCTCCATGTAGGAAATTATGAATAGTTTTCTTTCTGCCACAGTTTCACATCACAAAAGTATAGTTTCTGTATGTGTTTAGTGCTGGGAAAACACTTGAAAAGGAGAGTGCAACCAAAAGAGTTCTGTGTTGACTTCCTTCTGCTTTTGTTTAAATCGATTGAGCACAGGGAGGCCAAATCTGAACCATATTAAAATTCCATTTTGTGCATTATCCGTACTTCTCTAACCCTGTTCAGATACCTCATAAATAAACATTAATTTAATCAATTGACTGATATCAAGGTCATAACAGATAGGCAAGCAGGCAGATTAACGTCACAGATAACTACCAGAATATGATCTCAGTATATATTTTTATGCATAGAATTTACTCACCTGTCTTCTTATAGAATTAAATGAGATTGTATCCATGATTTCTAAGCCATCTATCAAATCTTCCTGTGTTACTTGGAATGCATTGACCTTTAAAACTAAAAAATTCAAAAAGTTCTTTTTCTCTTCTGAAATACCAAAAGTACAGAACAAGCCAAAACACAAAACAAATGAGTCAAAGCTTATACAAAAATTCTGAAAACAATGGAGAATAATAACCAGATAAGAAAGACAGGGTTCTTACACAAAAATTTCCTATGTTGGAAGGGTTTTATTTTTGGCATTCTCCACAGCCTACCCACTGAAGCTCACCTGATCTAACCTTGTAGTATTGACTTACAGAAGAATCAGGGTGAAAAACAAATGCTTTTGAGATGGATGATGAAATTTAAATACAGTCTTCATATTTGTCTGTTTTGGAAAATCAGCCTATGCTTATGACCACTTGGTACTCAGATTCATCCAGAAAATAAAGAATAAAGTATCAGTTTATATCAGTTATAGGAAGTTGCTTGCCATATAAAACAAGGCAAATTCAAAATAATTATCTATTTCCTGTTAACATTCTCTCTTGTTACAAATATCAATAAACAAACTACAGGTTGTGCTGGTATCATTACACTAGAATGGATATGTATCACTTCCCAGAAGCATTGATTTAAGGGAAGAATTTAGATATGAACAGATTTATTACCAAATTTCTTACATAAATCATGATCCCTAGCACTGTCTTGGAAGGAATTTTTAAACTTATCTTTCAATAGAGATTTAACATTTTAAATGTATTTAATTTGTCTAATCGTGTAACATTTTTCCTTGAGGGTCTGGCACCATTCACTCAGAATACTTGTGACATATTCTAGCACATTCTTTCGGACTTTATTGTGCTTTTGCATTGTGTTTCCTGATTTCGAAGCTCACTTGTGAGAGCTGAAAATCTCCGCATTTTTTGCATGACAGATATGTTGTGGGATGGAGTACATCCCAAAAAGGTAGTCTCGTCAGGAGGAACTAGATTTACATAGCGTGCCTGCCAGTGGGCAAAAAGCATCACTGAAAACCAAGTAAGCAAGATAAACTTATTTTTCAGGACTGGTGTGGCAAGTATTTCCAAACCATATTAAGTGCATTGCCAAGGAAAACATTTCACTTCCAGATCCAAGTAAAACTGTGAGTGATCTGCAGAGGGCGTCTCCATCCAAGATTTCACGAATCTCAGCAGCCTGACTCTTGGTGAAATAGCAAGAAATCCGTTCTTAACAACAGCTTTTACATCAGACTGCATATCACTCATTTTGATATCAGGGATGGGCTTTAACAGTACCATTCTGCAGTATCAGAGCAAAGTTTTGACTTAGCAGCTGGATTTTGCTAGCAGCATGCAAGCTACTATGCAAAGTCTCCATCCGCCCGAAGGCAACACCTCGGCACCTGGCTGAACTCCTCTCTGATAAAAGCAGGTACTGTTCTCATAGGTTTCAAAGGCAGAGACATCCTCTTTGGAAAGGCAGAATTTGACCTATCACTAACTTGCCATCTTCATAAAAAGCTAATAAATCAATTTTTAATGAATCCTTTTGGTCCCTGCACAAGTGTCCTTTCAGAACTTCTGAGGAGGAATGTGAAAGCTCAGTCTGTGTGTGTGTGTGTGTGTGTGTGTTTTGAGCTATATTGGATAAAACATAGTTCAAACCATGGATCACGCAGCAGTCTGTGCTAACACAGACAGCAATGTCATAATCTATTGGCTAGTTTCATGCTTTAATAATTACAAAAATATTTGGAATTAGTTTAATTAGCACAGTAAAATTACCTATATGATCTGAATAACATCATGCAACATGATCTCTATAAATTTCCTAAGGCAAATGGATTCATATTTAATCAACTAAAGGAGGTCTTCTAAATAATTAGTAGGCATTACTGGCACGTGGTTCTTGACCTAGAAGCTGTATCATCAGAGCTGCAAATCTCAGCCTTTGCATGTCAGATATTTTATGGGATGGAGTACATCCCACAAAGGTAGTCTCGCCAGAAGGAACCAGCTAGGTTTACCTGGTGTGCATGCCCTTGGGCAAAAAGCATCATTGAAAACTGTTTTCACGTAAGGAAGCAAGATAAGCTTTTCAGGAGGTGGATGAGGTTCAATCTCTTGGTGCCCTGTCCATCAACGTTTTTATTTAAAATAGTTTCAGTACAATTGAACAAACATTCCAGCAACTTTAGGGAACAGTCTTTAGAAAGTCTAGAAGCAATAGTTAAAAAAAGAGCTGCTTCCACAGGCAGTTCACTTAGTAGACCCTTGCTGTCATGTCTCTTATGTCTTTCATTTCCTTTATTTGGAAGGGATTTCCTTCATGGACCTATTTTTAACTAAATACCCTGTCTGAGTAAAAGTAAAACGTAAAAATGATAGCATTCAAAGGAAATTTTCAAACAGAAGATATAAGCTGATGATAAGAGATGATAAATGTTAATGAATTGATCTAAATATAAGAACTTGTAGGATCTGTCCTTCTCACTGCTCGTTTAAATCAAATATTGCACAGTGAGTAGCCATGTAGGAAAGAATGACGAGCTATTGCACACATACTTAAAGGACAGAATGAGACACGACTTTCCTCTTAGTTACAAGAAACAGATGAGGACGCAGAGTTGTGATGACTTTCCTACAGCTGCAGGCTTGCTTGTAGGAGAAAAGAAGGGAAAGCAAACTACTCTCAACTGCCAAGTGATTTCAAAGAGCTTTGAGGGTTGCCTGTTTATCAAGCTTACTTTTAAAAAGACTAAAATAAAATACTTCTGTCTAGGAGGTAAAGGCCAGTTCTCTGCGGCCACAGCTCCATCGCCTTAAGTTGTAAGCAGCAGGAGCAAATATAAATGGAGTGATATTTGAAATTTTGTCAACACCTCCTTTACTCTCAGTGATCACTGATGATAAAAGGCTGTGGCTATGCTATCAGTGCACAGAGCACAGAAACCAAAATAACATCAAATGCATTTCATTTTTGGAATTAATCTTACACAATATAAAAACCTATTTTATTTACATCCAGCAACTGAATATGCAATGCATACTCAGCTACATAAATCAGCTGGGTTTGAAATCTGCTTTCTAAAAATCCATGTCTTAACCTCCTTAAAAGGATGTTAAAAAACTGCAGGTGAATAAGGAAAGAAAAAAGTACACAGTAGCTAACATACTTCTCAGATTAGCGCATATAAATGTAACCAGACCTTTCAGCTTGCTGAGTCACAGACTCACTGGGAAAGGGCCTGGGACAAGGGCTGATGTCCAACTTGTAGGATCTCATGAGAGAGTGCCTCCAACCATAAATTCACCTGCAGGACTTGTCATTAAACGCATCAGATCATATGATGCGGTGAGGGCCAGGTGGCACTTTGCAATTTGGCAAAGCTCCTTTGAAGGCGAGGACATGCTAGATAATATTTTCGCAGTAGCAGCATCCCCTCTGCAATATTTTTCCACTCTGGGATCTCAAGCACTAGGCACAGCTGGCAGGTTCAGTCATCAGCATGAGGCACCTAAGATCTCAGACAGAGAAAGAGACTGCAGGGAAGTGTGAGATGGAGCTAGTGTTTGTCATGTTAATTTGTGAAAGTCTTACACAAATTGCATGATCCTCGATGTGATATTCAAAGACTGTACTAATGCTCCAGGTCCTCGAGTTCAGATGTGTCTAGCACTTCTTTTCTCTTCAGAAATGGTTTTTATCCTTTTGTCAGCACAGCTCTGGTAGAAGCGTGGCTTTATCTCTAATGGTATCTCCTTGCTGTGGTCCATGCAACCACGGTTTGTAGTAGTGGCAACGTCATTTCTAGCTTCTTCAAAAGACATGTGAATAAACACTCAGTGTGGTAATTCTTTTGCTTCTGTTGTCCTACATACAGTTAGCTGCATTTCTGACCCCTTCTCTGAATACAGTCTCCATGACATTCATGAGGAATGTCAACCCTGATATCTCACATTTAGGTTTCAGGTATCACTATAATGCTCATTTCCAAACAGAAAAGACAAATTAGGAAGGCAAAAAGTCTTAAAGTTATTACAGAGTATCTACAGCTCTAACACACCTTATGCACCCCCTTCCTCCAAATGCCAATATTCAGTGTTATGAACTCTGCTGCTCACAATTTGTCTTCATGTTTCAAAGTAAGTAAACCAAAATAGTCTCCACTGCATGTACTGCAGAGTAAGAATGGACTGAAATTTAGCAGTGTAAAAGTTCTCTGCCCTTTTCTTTGCCCGAGTTTGGTTTGCTTTGATTGTAGGATGAGGAGAAACTGACAATTTCTGTATATTCCTTACTGATTTTTCGTGCCCTAATATACTTTTCTAGGGATGGACTTAAGCTTTTGTTGAATGAAGAAAAAGTGCAAGCTAGTATGGAGTGGGATGGTAGAACGCTTGAACCCTGACCCGGATGACCTAACGTTATTGCAGTTTCCACAGACTGTTTTGCCACTGCCTTGACTGCAGCGCCCTTTGGAGCCTATGTAGAACAGCTTAGAGACAAACCAGGAACAGTAACTACTGAAGAACGAAGACAGCTATGCTGGCTGTGTTGAAATGAGATCCTGTCAGGAAGCTTCATAAAGGAGAGGGAAACCTAAAACTTTGCCGACTTGGGGCATCAGGCAGAGAGAAAAAAGAGCTACAAAGTCAGGAGCGTGACCAAGGCAGTCGTATCCAGGTCCTGGACAACTTGCACCTCCCTAGGAAGATCAGGGCACTGAATTCAGGCTTGAGGTGTCAGAAAAGGTCATCTAGGAGAAGTCAGCTTCCAGCCAAAAGAAGAGAAATTGGTGCTGCTCGACTGCCTACTGATGGAATGGCTAATACCTAAAATCCCCAGAGCACGTTCACCCAAGGATGTGCTCCACAGACACCCAGCCAGAAAGAATAAGCATTCTCTGTACTTTCAGGGTGTAAGAAACTACCTAAAAAGGGGGGCATCTGAGAGAACACAACCTTTACACAACTTGACTACGAGATTTTCTTCTTTTACTGTGGGTGGGTGGGTAAAAGGAAAGTTTTCCAAAAGGGTAGAACAGTTGCTTTTTTGGACATGATAACACAGCAAAATTAAAATACACTTAAAAACTGCACTAATGGAACAGTAAAGTATGATACTTCCTGTCTGCAGCCCATCTGCCTGTTAAGACTTTTTTGCTTTAGGAATTTTACTGCAACTTGTAAACATTTTGAAGAGAAAGTTTATGATAAACTTATCCTATATAAAATAGACATAAAGTTATTTTTTCTCAGCCCATTTAAGGAGGAATTCATTTATTTCAATTTATTCTATGTTTTAAGCAAATATTTTACCTAGATGTTGCCAAGCACTGCATGCATTTTGCAGTTAGCATTCAAATCCTGCTTTCCTAGAGTTTTATAGCCTACATGCAGCTTTATTGGTCTATACAGGACATGGCTTACTAACCAAATCCTTTGTTCAATCTAAATCTTGCAGCAAAAAGGGAGTTTAAAAAAAAAACAACAGCACAGTAATTAAGTAGGTCTCTTCTTAGCTATATCCCTATGATTTAATGCTTGAAAACTTAATTCTTCAATTCCCAGTTGGGAAAACATTCTTTATGGGAAACAAATAAATATTTAAATCTCTCTACATCTGTTCTCTATCAGCACTTCATAAAATAAGTCGTATAAAAAAAAAAGAGACTTACTTTTTGTGAGTCTGAGAGTTGCCTAAGGTTTTGAAGCACTGTCAGCCGGACGAAGCAAAGTTCCAGAAGGAAGATGGAAAAAAAATGCCTGTGCAAATTGTCTGACTTCTTGTGCTACCAAATAGGTACCTCACTGTTCCTTGTCACTCTCCCACTAAGTCAACAAAGATGTAAGAAGTCAGTTAATCATTAACATATTATAAAAATATGTAAGCTTTACCATATGACTTTTTTTCTAATTGCTCTAAAACACTTGCCAAAGTGTATAGATAACTCCCATTTAAAATTCAGTTTTCTGTAAAATATGCTTTCTGAAATATTGCCCTTGTGATCAGATGATTTTACAGCCCAAGACCACCATGCTCTCCCAGTCTGACAGCCTGAAGGACGCAGAATTCTCATCTGAAAGAGAATAAAGTGATTTCATAAGCTTTTTTCCTTGTTAGAATTTTTCTCCTGTATTTACACAATCAAAATTAACAAAGCTCTGAAGCGGGGAGAAACATAGGGGGAGAAGGAAGAGGCTCTCCAAGGAATAAGCTTAAGCTGAACTGTTCTCTTGTTGGATTGCGGTTGGCATTACTCGTATTTCAGCACAAATAGTTCTGAGATTGGTATCTTGGACTCTTTTATAAAAGAAATCTTTTTATTGTTATTTCTTGCTTCGTGGTTTTCCCAGGAGTGAAAATAATGCTTC